TTGAGGTCTTAGAAACTAATTGCCACAGATAAGGGAGGATGTGCTAGGCACGTAAAAGCATCAAGCAATTTTGAAACTTCCCATTTGGGTGGGGGATAGAGCTCAGTGCACAGTGCCTGCCTGGCAAGCATGAGGTCATGAGTTCAATTCCTGGTACAAAAATTCCCTCCTACTTGACCTTGCTGTAGGGATTGGACAGATTGAGGAATATGCACCACATTCTCCTGTTGCGTTATGATAGTGCTTTTCATTAGTTGGAGCCGATGTGACCTACAATATACATGCAGAAAATCCATTCTGTTCTAGAAGAAAACAATCTTCATCATGCCTTTTAACTTTTTAAAATTTTACAATAACTGAGACTGTCCTTCCTATCCAGGTTGTTTTAGAATTTATCAGTTTTTGCCACTATGCCCCAATGACATAAACATCTATAAAAAATTAATTCTTTATATTTTCACTTTCATCCATGAGAATAAAAAAAAAATCCATTGTCTATTCAAACTCAGGTTCAGAGTTACAAAAATGCTTTATTTCTGAAGAGCCAAGTTCTCATATCTTCTGAAGTCAGAAAAATGTTCTCTTCCTCTCTTACTAGGTCAGAACTTCTCCAGAATTGATTGTTCCAGGATAGCCCATGTGTTAATTCAAATATATTCTTTGAAGTACTTAATTGACCTGATTTACAGTTTATAAAACTTTCAAAAATTGGCTTTGCTTTAAATATCTTCTATTATTTCTTACAGTGATGGAATATGAGCACACACACACAAAAAAAAAAACTGTAAAGGAACTGGGTTCTCTGAGGACAAAAAGACAGAGAGAGCATATATTCTGTGACTTCAGAATATAGTGGAATATCATGCCTCTGTGTGACAGCAGTAGACTTTAGGATCCATGACAGAGTAAAATGTCATTGTAAAATGGGTTAATCCTTTGGATTCATTGGGTTTCTCATGTTTCATTGCTGTAGAATGAGGGGATTTCTATTGGCATAGGTTTTACAACATGAGTTTTAATATTCTAGAAATTGGAAAGAAAGTATAGAAAGTGATTAGTAGAGAAAAATTATAAATAGATGCCTCTCCATAGAGACACAGAGTATTTCTGATTTTGATGGACAACATTTGGCTGAGGTTGGAAAGTGCTTCCTTTGACAGAAATAGCTTTAAGGGAGATCACCTGTGAATGGGAGGAGCTTGTTGAAAGAACTAAAGTGAGTGTGAGTTTAGAGCCAGAGCTTCAGCTATCTGAGAAGACAGAGGACCACTCAGGTTCATACTGATTCCCAGCTTTGGGAGGAATGGAAAAGATTCTGGGAGCATCAGTTCTAGTCCTAGGACTTCATTGGACATGTGAGTTGTGAGGAGAATCCCCAGGGTACGGTATTAAGTTGAGGATGGGAATATTGGACAACAGGCAAAAGCAAGTAAGCAGAAGCCTTAAAGGGGAACTATAATTTTAGGGCCTTATGACTTCTTTAAAATCTTTCTAAGCAGGGGTGGACGGACAGCAGAAGAAAAATGACCAGCAACAGGTGAAACAAAATCCTCAGTGGCTGACAGTACAGGAGAGAGAGACTTCAGTGCTGAACTGCACATATGAGAACAGTGTATTTGACTACTTCCCGTGGTACCAGCAGCTCCCTGGCAAAGGGCTTGAATTACTGATAGCCATACGTTCCGTTGAGAATGAAAAGGAAGATGGGAGATTCAAAGTGCTCTTCAGAAAAGCTGACCGGAAGCTCTCTTTGCACATCAAGGATTCTCAACCTGAAGACTCAGCTGCCTACTTCTGTGCAGCCAACACACAGAGCTCTGCAGGCACCTGCAGCCTGTGCACAAACTGGCCCTGCTGCTCCAGCAAAGGGAAGTGGGGGCGGGGAAGGAATAGAAAAGAAAAACAAATGGAAACATCTTTGTGAGTGAGGAGCGGAAAAGGGGTTGAAGGGCAGGGAAGGGAATGGGAAAAAGAGGAACCAAGGTGTATCCTGTGCAGGTACAAATAGGGTGCAGATCCTTTGGACCTGCGAGAGGAAGGAGAGCAAGGCTGGATGTAGTTGTGGGCAGGAGCTCAGAAGCCTCGTCTGTCTGAGCCGTGAACTGAACAAGCACAGCGTATTTATTGAGAAGCTTAGAAAATACAGATCATTGTCGAAGGGCAACATACAAGAAGCCTTCTAGGTCACGGGATCCTGCCCAGTCACCCACTGCAGTTATCCTAAAGCTTTAAAGGACAGAGATTTTCTCTTCTTTTCTCTGAAGACAGTTCTGAGAAAGCAAACAAGATTGCTCTGTCCTAACAGCTCGCCACCAGGTGAACAGCCTCTTCTTTTTCCCTTGACTTCATCCTCAAAGATTTATCATGAAAAATAAATCATATTGCAGATACAGAGATAGAGATAGAGATATACGGAAAAAGAAACTTTTGAGTTCCAAATATTTATGACCCCATTGCAAAATCCCTTGGTAATTTTTTTTTAATTTTTAAATGATCTTACCTAATGAACAGAAATTGAACTCCTAAATCAAAGAGGATATCAGAAAATAAAAAGACATCCCTTGATCTTGAACAGGAAGAAAAAACATAGTGAAAATGGTCTTATTCCCAAAACTGCTTTACAGATTTAAGTAATCTCAAGCAAAATATCATTAGCACATGTCACTGATCTAGAGAAAACATTCCTAAAATTCATTTGGAACCAGAAGAGACCTAGAATAGCAAAAGAAATTCTAGGCAACAAAATCAAATCAAGGGGCATCATAATCCCAGACCTGAAATTATACTACAAAGCTATGTGATAAGATCAGCATGGTATTGGCAGGACAAAAAAAAGAGGTCTGAGGATCAGTGGAACAGCGCGGAAGATGCGGATGCAGCCCAGACACACTCAGCACCTTGTCCTTGACAAAGGGGCCAAACACACACATCACAGCACATGTACCTCAAATATTAGAGGCTTCCTGCCTCCCAGTCCTAGAGGCTGCTCATGGAAGTTAAGCTTTTGGCAGGTGCGTACCCACTCAGAAAGCTCTAAGGAAGATCTCTTCTGAGTTCTCCCCTATCTCTAGTAGTTCTATGCTTGTAGATGTTCACATTAAGTATGTGTCACCTTTAGGTGTCCCCCCTTCAGTGTGTGCCCCTGCATTTCATGTCACATTCTTTTTACTAGCCCATAACTGGGCCTGCTCCAGCATGCCTTAACTAGCTGCGTCTGTGACAACTGGATTTCCAAATAATATCATATTCAAATGTTTTAGAAAGTGAACACACACATTTGGAGAACAAAATCGAATATATGTGTGAATAGAACTTACAGATCAGCTAACATAAAGATCTAGAGACAGAGAGTTTATCCTGAACCTTCCCGGTGAATCAAAATATTGGACTTGGGCCAGCCAAATAGCTCAAGAGATTAAAGTGCCTGCTTAGGCAGGCGCCATGGCCGAGGTTCAATCCCTGGCCTGATGTGCCGGCCCTGCCTTCAAGATTGCTGAGAGGGCCATTGAGACTGAGTGTGATGGCACGCACCTGTAATCCCAGGTCTTCGGGAGGCTGTACACAGGTGGATCCCTACGAATCTGATCTACATAGTGAGACCCTGTAGAACCTTTACTAAAAAAAAAAAAATACACCAAAGTTGGACAGATACAGTGAGTCAGAACAAAAGTGTGGTGAGATGTGGAAAGGAAGAAAGCCTCCGAAGCTGGGAGGATGTGCAGTCTGCCCGTTCCCCAGGACTCCGGGGGAAGCAGCCTGACTGTGCATTCATGAGACTGACGCATGTGCTTGTGACCTCTAGAATTCTAAGAGCACTCCTTGTGTTGATTTTGACATCATTTGTATAGTGTATTGCACCAAAATAAGAAAATAATAAAAACAGTAATAGTAAGCACTGAGAAGTAACCATATCCAGAATAGAAATTAAAATGTGAAGATAAAATTAAGTACAATATTTTCCAATAAATTTTAAAGATGTTTGTGGAGACAATTCCAGATCCTCGTTTCTATCCAAGAAGCCAATATTTGTAATCCCAAAATTACGTTATTGGAATCCCATCAAGTTGATTCCTATCTACCACTTTCAGTGCAACCCACGGCCAAAATAAAGACACTAAATTATATTTTCAATCATCAGGGAGTCAAGGGGCTCTAAGTCCAGCCACGAAGATGGCTTTCTGGAACCAAGAGAGTGACCCAGGGCCTCACCATGTTTTTATTCAGTGGGGGAGTGGCTTGAGGAGTATTGACTGAGAATTGTGGGAAGTAGGTGATCATTGTGAGCTGAGCTAGGTGGGTGGCCTAAATTTACCTAAGGCCAATTGATAAACAGAAGTCCTAGCCAGCTCTGTACATAGGAAATAGGGTCAGGCTCAGTCAAAATGGAGACAGTCCCTCTTCTTTCAAGGAGAGCCACTCAGGTGGTCCTCCACAATTCCCCCTTCTTTGCTTTGAAGAAGCTGGAGCAGTGTCAGTTCTGGCCACATAGCCTGTAGCTGTTGTTGGGCTGAGTCCTATTCTGCCTTCCCTATCAATAATAAGAAGGATTAATAGTATGGGCCCATTTCCATCCCTGATAATGAGTCTGGGGATGGAAGGATTGAGGCTTCTATCTGACCATGTCTCTTCCTGTTGGGGGTTTGGCTAGTGACTCACTTGGGCTCTTTCAAAGTAATTGACACCTGTGTAGAATATCAATCCCTGATGCCCATCCCTAGGGAAGTATGTAGCTGTGTTTTCTCTTTTTGTCTTGGTCTTCAGATATGGCCCATATGGTAGTGTCTGTCTCTTCCAAAAGTTGTAAAGTCACCTTGTCTTCCATCTTGTCTCCTCAAGAGCCTGGCCCTATCTGAATGCCTATAATATTCCTATTTGACTTGGCTGCCTACAACATTCCACCCTCTGAAGAAGTAACCTGAACTGCAGTGAAGGAATTGTGAGTGATGACCGCTCTGGCTTCTTCAGACTGAATGAGGTCGTAGTTGTTGGCCGACAGTCAGATATATTCTTCAGAGGTTCTATCTAAAGGCCCAATAGATGACAGGCAATTTCTCTTGGGTGAATGTATAGCTTTGAGACTGGAGGAGACAAAGCCAAAGAAACAATTAAGTATGCGTGGGTTAAATAATCACAATAGAATAATTATGAAAAAGACAAGTTAGAACCTTTTGTAGGTCTATTAGCAGATGTCTCTTAAAGGTGGGGTTTAATCCCTTTTATCTTTCATGACCATTGTATATTGTCTCAAACAAACTGGCCTTTTATGTCTCATCAATTTTATTATTACTTGGGCACATGAATTGCTAGAAATAGGAAAAACACCAAGTACTCTCCAGTTTGCAAGTGGGCCACTGGTTGGGTAACTACTGACAAATCTGCATAAGCATCTCTTAAATGTTTAGCATCATTGTTTAGTAAGCAACCTGATATATTGTAGTATCTCAATTATAGCTAAAACAAGATGTCTTTCAAAGTCTGTTTCTATTGAGGTATGATGACTGGAAGGAAAGTCAGGGTCGGAGAAGGACAAAGAGACCTGTGCCAATTTCCAGCAATAGGCTGGATTTATTTAGAGCTGAGAAGGCCACAGTGCTGACAGAGATACAGACATTAAAGGCCAGGCTCAGGACTTTCCATCTGGGAACCAGGAATGCTCCGCAGGCAGCCAGATAGAGCCAGCGTGTTGTACGTTCTGACAGCAACCAATCTTCATTTTGCTAATGTGCAAAGACTTGCAGGAGACTGAAATTGAGGGCAGTGCATTACTTAGCCTGGTGAAGGAAAGTTCAAGACAGTCCACTATTCAGGCTACTAGCCTGGGTACCTCTCCCTTCTTTTATCAGATCTTTAATGAAAATTAAGAGAAAAGGGAAGAAATGAATGATTTTTAAAAATTTGCAGTTTCACCAGAAAGTGCCTGAAAAGTTGGAGCCAAGGAAAGCCCAGTTGCTGAGAAGAGTAGCAGTAAAGGTAGACAAGTGCTCTGCCCTGGGACAGCAGGAAAGATGAACCAAAGGCATCAGAGTGATCATCCAGGTGCGAGCTGCACGGGCCCCAGAGTCTAAAAAGGAGACAGCACTGAAGCACTTTGTTTTGAGAAGAAGGCTCCAGAGAGCCCAGTGTGTTCAGGGCTGCCTAGAGAAGTTTCCTAGAATTCAAACATCCAGACAAACAGACGACATTGTAGCTCTAGGCCAGGCTTCTCTCAGACTGCAGCAGATCCTGGGATCATCCTCACAGCGCTGGTTTTTCCAACATTCCAAGAGCTGTGATGCTCTGGAGGCTTCCACACGGATTTCAGGAGGAGGCCTGACAGGCCAGGCGGTAGGCCCTGATGTGGCCGTGCATGAGAGTGAGCTGAGAGCTCAGTGGAGACCACAGAAGTGGGGTACCAGTATGTGGCACTTCTGCTGAGGAAAACTATAGGGAAAGAGTGGAACTTCAATAGAAAGGCCACGGCACTGTGCCTGCTTAGCAAGGCCACAAGAGTCAAGCTCCCAATCCTTTAGAGATTATATCTTACCAGTAGAGACCACTGATGAGAACATTGTGATGAAGACTAATATGGAAGTAGTATCAAATCAGCCTTTTCACAAGAGAAATGCACAGCTGGCTGAGTGAACACCCCATCTCTATGAAATAGAGACAGTGAGTCTGTGCTGCTGGAAGTCAGAACAATGCTGCCCTCAGGATAGGGCACCAGGAAGAGCTCAGCTGGGGCCGCTGAAGCACAGCAAAGTCCTATTTCTCCATCTGGATGCTGACTACAAGGACACTCACACTCTGAACTCTGATCAAGCTGTACACATATATTTACATTAATAATGTATTTTATAGTTAAATAAAAGCTTTAGAATGATGCAGTGAAAAAAATGATACAGTGGTTTGATATTAAAAGGTAATCTGTGAGCTGAAAGCAAATTT